GCCCGCATGGGTCAAATTCACTTCTCAGTCCCGAAGATTTAGGGGGATCCTCTAAAAGGATTTTTCCCCACAACTGTCTTTCCATCCCAGAGGGTTATCCATGGTAGGAATGGGCCACCAGGGAGGAGGGTCCATGTTCTCTAATGAGGCTGAGAAGGGGGATTCCTCTTCCACTGAGGAACCACACCAAGTCCCAGACCCAGTCTAATTGATGACCAGTGTCAAAATATCATGAAAGGGGCCTGTTCAATATCAGGGATTTGGGTACTGGTTCAACAGTTAAGGTAGTGCCAATGCACGCTATGGACATTTGTGCCACTACTGTCTGCAGGGAGCTTATGCAGCACTGGTACATGTGGCACCAAAAAAAAAGGTTTGCCTGCTGAGCAGTACCAGAGGTACTACAGTTCCTTCTATGTGGTGTAAATAGAATGGGAAATTTCATCTTGGGCAAGGCTCAGTGGTGAGGTTCCAGGGAGAGCATAGGCTTGGAGGATTGGTCTCTTCACTGGAGGTCTGTGGTGGTCTCCCTGGTTTTTGGATCCTGGGCTAAAGATCAGGACTGCTGAGCTCAGGATAACACTGTGGCTCACTGGGGGCCACTAGCAAATGGAATAAGTCTTTCCAAATGCTTGCCAGGATCTGAAGATGCCTGTACAGATACTGCAACAAGATACTGCTTCAGTCTACTTTCTCTAGCTTTAAGAGTACACTAAGAGCACTGGGCTTGGCTTCTCTGATCATAAGGTTACTGTACATTACTGGCAAAGTTTGGAGAATGGCCTTTTTAGGCCTGCACACAGTGGATGAGGGGACAAGAACCTTATCAAGTCGTGAACCTAAGTAAGAGAAATTAGATGGCTATTTAGATGAACTCAACTCCCAACAACAGGAATTACCTGCTGTCTCTCGATGGCAGAAGTGATTCATCTTGTAGTTGCAGGGTGCATGCAGACTAAACAAGGGGTATGTGTGCACGACACTTTAAAGTAGGTTAAATGCTTTTGCACAACTTTACTGGTGTTTGTGTTTGCATGCGTCAGTGGCATATCGCACATTAATTCCAGCCACTGTTAGAACATTCGGCAGCATAACACGCCTTAAATGACTTTGGGGAGCAGCAAACTAAAACACCTCCAAAGAGTTTTAGTTTGCTGCCCTATAGCCACGGAGTGAAGCACCAGGCTCTGTGCAGCTAAGAGGCTCTGCAGGCAGCCCGCGAAGGCAGGCTCCACCGAAGGAAAAAAAAAAAAGCGGTAAGCCTGATCTTTCCTGCCTCTCCTCCAGAGCCTACCTGCCTGAGCTGCATGGGGACCCAGTCCTTCCCTCCATGGCTGCAGTGCCCCCTGGGACCACCTGAGCTGGGTGCGTGTGCACAGGTGCTGCTGCTGCCATAGAGGAAAGCACCAGCCCTCCCCGGCAGCTTGCCCTCCTCTCCCTGGGCCAGAGAGGCAGGTAACACACAAGTGTACATGACACAGGGGTTTACTTCACCCTAAATTGACGCGGTGTTTTTAAAAACCCACCGCTTCAATTTAGGGCCCCTGTTTCATCTATACATGCCCACAGATAATAAAATGGAACTGGCTGACAGTTGAGGAAGGCTATCCTTTTACTTTCACTAAAGTGGTCAGGAGGGTTCCCAGAACACAGGTCTGACCCCCCAAAGAACACTGCTATTCAAAAGAGAACCAAATTTAGTGCACATAGTGCAATCTGCGTGGACACCAACTTGAAGAAAAAGCTACCTTCTACTAAATACTTCTCATCCCCTCCTAAGCCTTAGAAGGGAAAAGCAATCTTTTATTACATTTATTAGAGAGCTTCTCACGGCTTTCTTAGAACAAATTTATATTTGTTCTTTATTGTACAGTATTAGCAAAATGCATTAATAAAGAATACTTTATAAATTTTTATCAAAATTAATATTAGATTAGAGGGAAGCCTTGGAAGCAATACAAGACAACTCTTTATTCTCAAGTGAGCCAACATTTTGCAGCAAGTTAAAATAAAATCTTACCTGTGTAGATACAAGGCCAGCTGCATAATCTGGAGTAGCATTTTCCACTACTGTTTCCTCTTTGGCTTGCTTTTCCACCACTTCTGCATCTACAGAATACAAAAGGAAGAGTTGGTTCAAGTTAGCTTTCCCAACTACAGAACAAGCTTTTCTCTCTTTTTAAGCAATGGCAAAAAGAGTCTATGCAAGATTGATTGCTTTTTAGAAAAATAATAAAACGTATATAGTGTGCTGGTTTTGCAAATACAATGCTTTTTCTATAAAATATCCATTTAGTTTTGCAATAAAACTAACACTTAGAATACAAACAAATTTACAATTTACCACGGAACTATAATTTAGCCAGTTCTGATTGCTCAATGTTGCAATGAATATTAGCAAGCTTCAGGAAAACCAAGCACAACAATATTTACTGCAATTATGGCTTCATTCACTAAAATTGTATTTATTTATTTTATGTAGCTTTAAAAATTAATTAAGGTTTAAGGGGAAGAGAAGGTGGGGGACAGGGAGAAGGGGGGCACCTGAAGCCACGTAACTAGAACTGGTTTTAGAACAGTCTACTTGTTAACACTAGTAAACTTGCTCAATATTATATTGGACTAACCTAGAGTCTTTCTTCTTCGCTTTGCTTCACGGCCAGCACCAACCATGTCCAGCTCTGAGATATCTAGCAACTACAAAAGAAGTACCCACATTTACTTTAAAATCCAGTATTAAATTCAAACTCTTTCATCAAATATTTGATTACATTTCTTGGAAATTAGTATAAAATACAACTGCTCATACCCATGGCTCAAAAAGGGACAGAAAACTGGAGATCACTTTTGATCAAGAATAGTGAGCTGATAGCACATAGAAAGGATTTTTCAAAGCTATTACCTACCTTTACTCCTCTTTCTTTGCGCAGAGGTGTTCTCGAAGGAGGAATAGGGGTTCTGCTTCCAGAGGGGCTAAATACACTAGGTGTTGTGGGACTCCTGAATGGAGCTTGTTTTGGTATCCCTTTGAGTGGTGCTTGAAGAGAAAGAACAACAGTAATTTATTAAAACATGTTTACTTAGTTAGAAACATAGACAATATGAGCCTAAATTATTTTTGTGCTCTATTTCTTTAGCTTCCTAAGCTACTTCTATGGAAGGCACCACATACATACACATCTTCAGAGGTCTACTTACCATGTTATATGTAGCTTACAGTTTGCTACCCAAGACCATAAGGATAACCCATTATTATTATTAGATGCATACAAATACTTTCCATGCATATGATTTTAAAAATATATGAATGAACTGAAATGCACTCCAGCAATGGCAGGCCTGGTGTTAGCATATCAGGTGGCAAAATGCTTCCATTCTTGTACAATTATGAACTATAATTTTAGCCATTAAAAGTTCATAATTGTACAAGAATGGAAGCATTTTGCCACCCAATATGCTAACACCAGGCTCCTGCCATTGTTGGAGCGAATTACCCCTCACAGAGCAGAGAGACGCACAGACACCTCACCACAAAGAAATTCCTGCCCTGAAGAGCTTTCCATTTTTCCACTCTCCTGTGAAATATGAAACATCATAACCTGAAGGAAATATACTTTTACATCCTGCCTGCCACCAGACAAAGTTGAGGTAAAAAGACTTTCAACCTTTCTCTGTGCCTAACCTGGACAAAATGAACTATTGCAAACAGGAGACTTTACCACATCTTCAGCATTTCTGTGAAATATGAATTTTCATTTCTATGTAGAAGAACTTTTGCAGTCTTTGCTCTCTCTCACCTTTCATGAGGCATAAGTGTGCCCAAAAGCTTGCAAATAAAGAAAATGTGTTTGCAAATATCCAGCTGGTCTAATAAAAGATATCATCTCTTCCATGAGTTTTGATTCCTTCTCTCTTAGCACCTTAAGCTCTATTTAACTGTCAAAGACAGATACATTTTTTGCGCAGTTGGCAACATGCTCTATAGTTAAGGATGGCAAATACTTTCCATTATAAAAATCAGGTTTCACTTGTTTAAAACTTGGGCAAAACTTCAACCTTTGACCAAGATCTTCCATGCTAGTTACATAGCTCTAGCTAAAATATAGGGAGTACAGGAGCCCAAGGATGTACCAGAAGTAGCAGCAATGTTGTCAAAACCACAAATCAACAGCAGCTCTTCCTCTGCCTATACCTGTAAAAGCCCCATCCAGGTACAGACTCTAACCACCAATGCTTCCACTTGGGACATTTGGGTTTAGATTTGTGGGATGCATTTCCTTACACATCTCTCCTAATGGATTCCTTCATGAAACAGATAAAGGGAGGAGGATGTGGCAATGCTAAGAAGCAACACAAACATGAGAAATTCCTTTGATGTGAGGAACAAGGAGGTTAAAAGGCCAAGCATTAGCAAATGCAACCTGGAGTTTAACATACTGGTGTGCAGATGGTGTTGCTTGAGGGGCTTTGGCTTCTTTGGCAATAGTGTGGTGTTCAAGGAAAAGGGCTTGCTGAACAAGGACCCACCTAATGAAGAGGAAGGAAGAACTTCTTTTGCACATAGGCTCTGTGATCTAGTGAGGAGGGCCTTAAAACTAGGCTCAGCAGGACTGAGCAAGCCCCACAGGTAAAGGAAAAGATGATATGGATAAAAGGCTAAAGGGGACAATGAGGGGAGTATGAAAAAAGGTCATGAGTGAATCACGAGCAGGGCAATCAACTAGTCATTATCTTAGGGTGCAAGAAGTATGAGGAATAAGCACAAAGAACTGGACATCTTAGTGCACATCAAATTAGGATCTTAAATGGGATAACAGACTTGGTGGCACAGATTGCATTACAGGAATATTGTTAAGGCTGGGTATAACTTGGTTCAGAAAGGACAGATGAGGTATGTCCAACCAGTTTTGGGGGTTTTTTTTGACTGTGCTGGGAGCAACCTTTTCAGTACAGATGGTGGAAAAATCAACAGGGTAAAAGGGGCTCAATATACTTATTTCTAATAGAGAGGTGATGACCGAGAACCTGAAGGAAGGCAACTTGAGTGTCAGTGATCAGCAGGGATCCGGGTTTTCTGTTTGTCATAGAAAAAAGAACACAGTAAAAACCCAGATTTTATCCTTTTAAGAGAAAAAAAAACAACACAGGAAAAGGCCAGTTTCCCCCTTGCAGGCTGGCAGAATTCCAGCCTGCAATGGGCGGGTGGG